TTTGGCTCAAAATTTCAAGGAATATTTAATTTTATATTAATAAACTTTTTACGTAAGTTTTATAAAATTTAAAAATTGGATTCTTAAGATATTAAGAAAACAATGCTTAGATGCTTGTAAATTAGAGTTTAGAGTATCTATTAGGGTTTCTTAGGTATCAAAAAATTGCAAGTGAATTTGTAGTTAATTTATTTTGTGGTAGAATTTAAGAGTGAATTCTACCTATCCTATAAATTTGAGACAAATTGAATGGTTAGATCAAGAATTATGAATTTCTAAAATTCAAGATAAGAAAATCCTTCACAGGAAAAATATGTTTTGAAGGGATTTTGTTATATTTTGAATTTTATGCAAAATAAAGGAGTTTTGGGAGGCTAAGAAAAGATTCATATAAAGGTTTAAGCTAAACTCTCTAGAGCTAGATATCCAATGTATTCCTAGATAGCAAATCATGCCATATAATACCAGGTTATTATCTCATATGGTTTTTAAGTATCATAAAAGATGGAGCTTATGAATGGTATAGAAACCACTTCCCTCAAATCTTTAAGAATTGAAAAATGCTCATGAGAGCATTTTTAGAAAAGTTCAGGCTAGAAGTAGGGCAAAGTAATACCCTCACAACCCTTTCTTCTTTGAGATAAGAAAAGGAAGAAAAAATCACTAAATACATTCGGCGATTTGAACTTATAGTAACCAGATTCGTGGGAATTCTTCTCATAGATGATATCTTCATTCATTTCTTTATTCAAAGATTTAATAATGAGGGAATAATTTGAGAGATTTTTAAAAGAAGGCCAGTTAATTTAAAAGAAGCTATGAATTTAGCTCCGGTAGTAGAAAACATTAACCAGTAGTAAGAACGAATGTGGTGGAAAGAAGACCATAGAATCTCCAGTTTTATTCTTATACATGCCTAAAATATAAGAAACTTTTAAGGATATTCATATGGGACTGTAGAACCTCAATTTCATTCTATAAATCACTATCCAATACCTTAAGAGGTTAGACTACCTCTTGTCCTTCCTGAGTTGACATATCTAGAAGATAGGAATAGATAAAATGAAGACTTTAAGAATAAAGTTCTTCAAAGCCAACAAGGATTTCAAAATAAACTTGCACAATAAATAAAGGCTATGCAAGAACAAATGTCTCTTTTAATTAAGAGTTAGAATCCAAATCAAGCTCCACCTCCCATAGAATCTAGTAGGCATATTTCACGGCTTTGGTGCTTTCAATGTGGCCAACTAGGGCATATAGTTCAAGTTTGTTCAATCCAGCAAAATTACCAACAAAATCAAGGAAGACAACAATCATATGTCTTACTTCATAGGAACCAAAATATGATTGGTTCTAATTTATAATTCCAACTTCAAAATAATTGTACCAAAGGCCTTAGGAACCAACAACAACAACATAAGGTGCATCACCTTTGTGTGAAAAGCAACCTACCGGTGTCATGTTGTAACATGACTATATGGTAAAAGATGATAATATGGATCTTATTATAGAAGGGCCAAGTTAAAAGAAAAGATAGAAAAATATGGATAAAAGATAGGAAGGTAGTAAAACTTTTAGTAGTAATGCTGCCCTTTTAAAAAAATAGCTTCTATTTACTTTGTAGGGCCAAAAATAAGGCAAAATAAGGTAGATTGGAAAAATAAATGATATAGACATCTTAAGAAGGAAGTTAAGAGTAAATTCTAGTAAAAATTACTTAAAAAAAAACTAGATGTTGATACCCAGAGAAGACCGGTTATGAACCAAGGTTAAAATCAGACCCTGAGGCACAAAACTGAGTCTCGACGACGACTTCGGCACTCTTTGGCAGATCGAAGAATGGGGTTTGATAGAAGATTAAATAAGGTTTCTATAAGCGTTGATTTTGGATTATTTGGAGTTGATATGACTTTGTAAAAGCTTTGCAAAGTCAAGGTTTGTTTTGGATGACTTGGATTTTATGAAATAAAATAGGATTTACATTTTGGGTGATTTCAAGAGTTTTGTAATAGATCTACAAGTGAACTTTTGTGTGTTTATGGTTATAGTTGTATTTAATATGTATCGTGAATTTGAGCTCAATCTAATGGTTAAATTGAGGAATATTGAGGTTTAAGTGGGTTAAGGTCTCAGAAAATAGAATTTTAGGTCTAGTAGGAATTTTTAAGATTTCTTACAATCTACTAGTTGGATTGGAGTGCAACTTATGTGAAAGGATATTAGACTTGATTTTCTATACGTATGAGAATTTTGAGATCAATCGAATAGTGCAAAGGAGAGATATTGGCTCTGGAAGATTAGCATCAAGATTGGAGAAGTAGGCCGGCGAATATCTGAGCACATTTTTGAGGTTATCGTCAATTTGATAATTCAGATTCTTTTCAATATTTTTGTGCTTGTTTTTAATTTCATTTTTAAGAAGTACGCAAAATTTGAGTTAAGATCAACAGTTTATTCATTAGTTATTGAGGTTTAAATCTATTATAGGAATTACTAGGATTTGGTTTAGGATTTGGTTAGAGTTTGGTTTAGGGTTTAGGATTTGGATTAGGATTCGATTTAGGATTTAGGGTTTGGTTAGGATTTGATTTAGGATTTAGAATTTGATTAGGATTTTATTTAGGATTTGGTTGGAGTTTGGTTTAAGATTTGTTTAGGGTTTGATTTAGGGTTTGGTTTAGGGTTTGGTTAGGATTTTATTTAGGATTTGGATTAGAGTTTGGTTTAAGATTTAGGATTTGGATTAGGATTATTTTAGGGTTTTATTTAGGATTTAAAATTTGGTTTAGGGTTTGATTTGGATTTAGTTAGGGTTTAGTTTAAGGTTTGTTTAGGATTTGATTTAGAATTTAGGATTTTATTAGGATTTAAGATTCAATTAGTTTTGGCCTAAAGTTTAAATGAAGTTCTATAGGATTTTAACTAGAATTAAATTAAGATTAAATTGAGATGTATTTGAGTGATATTTGTGATCCTTCTAATATTTCTTTAAGAATTATTATTAGTTGTTTGAAATTTCTTGAGATTTTTTTGAATTTGATTAAGCTTGCTTAGCATAATTATTGTCTAATTAGAGAATTATTAGTATTCTATTAGAAGTAGGATTTTGTTATTACAATTTCCATTCTTCCTTCCATAGCCAGGTGTCCGGAGCATTCTCAAGCAAGATTTCACGTATTACGACATTAGGTAATTATTGGATAGAGAATGGAGTAGTATGTCGAAACTAAGGAAGAAACCATCCTACAGATGTGTGTAGGCAACCTCATAAGATAGTTCTTTTAAAAAGTCCACAAGAAAATTATCCACAACAAGTCCAATATCGTTTGAAGGAAGAAAAAACCTCAAACTCGGATAATATCTTAAAACCTCCTCACTTGTTTTATGATTATAATAATAATCATCAAACCCAACATCTTCTCTCAAGTTTAAATACACAAAGAGGATTTATTCCATTAAACAATGACCAACCTCAAAATGTCTAATAAAATAAAGGGTAAAATTCACAAGATGTAAGGTATTTGGAAATACCAACTGAAGAACAAAGTTTTTCAAATCCTTAGAGACCAACCATCGTCTTCTTATACACATTACATCTCTCATGAAGGAGCACCTAGCAAAGATAAAAGACATCTTAATATGTCGGCCTTGACAGTTATGACAAGGTTTAGGTATACTAGTCCTCTCCATGCTAATTCAATTGATAGTGAGAATAGTTTAGAAGACTCTCCTCACTTGTCGGATTTAAATGAAGCCACAAAAGATGCAATGGCCAATAGTAAGGCTTCTAAAGAAATACCTCACGTTTTAGGGCCCAAGTCAATTAGGCTACTCTTATAAGATGCTAGGCAATTAGACTTTCCAAGAAAATTTAATGCAGTGTAGTTGGATCCTTACTTGAAAAAAGAAGTCCTCTTAAATAATTTAGTTTGGATACAAACTCTTAACGGAGAAGATTTTTCTACTAGAATTGCTAGCAATCAGTGCAAAAAATATCAAGTGTGATTTCATCACACCCATGATCAAAGATTTTATCCTTGCATTTGTCGTTATTGTATTCAATTGTCTTGTCTTTTTTTCAACTTAGTTCCTTCACCTAAATAATTATAGATATTCTAAGTAAAGGACATGAGTACTTGATTAGACTCTCATGAAAATATATATATATATATATATATATATATTATTAAAAATTATTAAAAATTGATTGTTAAATCTTGTTAAATCATCCAAAAGATATAGAAGAGTTGGTCAAGTGAGAGGTTATTAAGTAAGTGTCCCAAGTTTGAATCTAGGTGGAAAAAAATGGGCTATCCCTATGAGCTAGTATTAGTACACGAAAAGACCAACCTTGACACTTGACAGATATATAAGCCTTAGAAAGTTGATACTAATATCTTCTCATGTTTTTTTTCTATAAACATTAGTTGTTAAGTACGATATCTTATTCTTTTTTTCTCTAGTTAATTCTATAGAATAAAATCTACTTTAGTTCCTTCACAAAGTAGCAACTTACTCATTCTTAACTTAGATAGTTGTTAAAATCTTTTGTAGAAAAACCCCCTTTTTATTCAACTCGATTTTGAGAAGTCAATTTTAGGTTCTTCTCCTTTATAAGCCGTCCCAAATAGTCGCCATGTATAAGTCATCAAATTGACTCATTAGTTGTTTTAGGTCAAAAGAATGCATGTAGAATGCAAAAATTACAATTGTTTGGTGAAGATGTGCTTAGAAGAAATTAAAGGAAGAAGAATAATATGAGTGGAAAAGAAATGGAGTCTTACTAAGTCTTAGAGGCAATTATTTTAGTTGGTGTAGTATTTTTACTTATTATTAAGTAATAAGGATCAATATATATATTATGGTATATATATATATATATATATATATTAGTATGGTAGTATGCGCATTGAATATATATATATATATATACACTGTATGGTAGTAAGCTCATTGAATGCACATTCCCACTTCGTAGATCCTACTGCAATTCGCACACATGTTACAAAGACTAAATCTGCATTCATGTTTAGTGCATAAAGGATTTGGTAACGTTCCAGCTCTAACAATGGAAGAGCGAGTGAAAATACACTAACCTACAGAAAACAAAACTGGATGCTGTTGTTTCAAACTAAACCTAAAGAGTATTGCACCCAATATATTAGTCATCTACTTCTTGCCTCCCTTGCCTCCCTTGATCGGTCCTTTCTTCTTCTTTTGAAAGACAATTTCACCTGATATTAGAGTGGGAATTTCCTGAATTGCGCCGATTCCTCCAAATCGTTGCCTAAATTTCTCCACTCTATCTGCGTCGAGAACAAGAGCAGACTTGTTGCCCTGGTAGAAGGGGTGATTACCCGACCACACATCGACCACATACTCAGTCTGTGTCCCGCTGGTGGTCATAACAAGTTCTCCATTGCAGTATACCTTGGCCTGCTCATAGAACTGGGGATGAATCTCGGCCCTCTTGCACGTCACTCTCGACTCGCCCCGATTCACCTGTGAGCAAGCCACTTCCACCAAAACCCTTCATGAGATGATTACAGAACAACCAAAACCTAACCACAGATGCGACTAATCACCACAACGCGCTACATTGGGAATGAAGCCTACCCACATACCCAAAAAACCAGGAAACATGAGCAGTGGCAAGTCTCGAACAGCGCAATTCAACAAAGGGTGTCCATACCTGAATGCAGGTAGAGCCAGAGAGGAAAGAGGAGGTGGTGGTAGCGGGGCAGGCAGCCAAGGTGCTGATGGAGGTCGCCATAGCTACGAAACAGAAACTGGGTCTGACGCAAACAGGACCTTGCATTACAGAGAGAGAGAGAGAGAGAGAGATCTCGCCAGGGACCAAAAACACCAGCAAACTAGAGCAATCAATCTGCTAAAGAAGGGCGCAGAAGCACCACAAGGTTGCTGATGAAGGACGAGATGCTGGAATGGCTGCGGAGGACACAGTCTTGTTTCTGGGTAAGGTTCCCTTGTTCCCTTCACAACGTTCGCTGCTCCTTGCTCTCGCGCACTCGGGTTCCCCATTGCGTTCCCGCTCTTGTGTCTTCTGTGCCGCGTAATGCCCTCTCTGCAGGGCATCCCCTTAAAGTGCCAGCTGCGCAATTAAATTAATTAGTTGTGCATTGCTTGTGGGACCTAAAACAGCATTCTTTTGGAAAATTACAACGTTTGTCAACACACAAATAAATAAATAAATAAATAACGTATTATGCATATGTGATTCATTCTAAATCACTGTGAATTCTCAAAATTTTAATGCCAATCAACACTAAACAAATACTAGTTCAAAATACATACATATACAAACATAAACACCATATATTTATTTTGGAAAATTAATATATATATATATATATATATATGTATATTTATATATACCCATAAATTAAATTATTCTGATTTTTATGTTGAATGAGAATTTTTTAATAAATAATTTTAAAACTCATCTGCATTGTTTAATTGAAAGAAAGCCATCAACAAGTACGTATACCAATGTAAGGTTGTTTAAAAAGTATCTATTTTAAAATGAATATTTTTCCACTACACATCACAATACTAAATTGAATGTATGTATATATATATTTCATTTTCATCTTTAATTTTTATATTCATTAACCAATTTAAAAAGCTATTGTTTTCAAATTCCTTGAGTTACCATTTAGCATTCTAATTTTACGTTCCTATAGTTTTCTTTGTGTAGATTGATGATGTGTTGTTAGTTAGTGCAAATTTAAACTTGCAAATTACTTATGAATACATTTGATGAAACTTGCTAAAAATCATGATTGTGAATGTAATTATCTGAAAATGTTATTGAGATATTGTAGTTGCATGTGCATTGCTTTTCACTGGAGAAGAATTTACTGTTCAATTAACTTTGAATGTTTCACATCTATTTTGAAAAAAGATAAATATAAATTAAATTAAGAGCTAACTATCTTTTGATTAGAGCCCTTTGATCATCCATGTGGGGTTTGTGATCTTCATGAACTCCTGTGAATGCCCAAGGATTGTAATCAAATGTAAGAAGAGATGGTTCATAGCAATGTGGTGCTTCAAACCCTAATAAATTCATGTAGGTTGCAGTAACATTGGCTAGACCCGCATTTCGTAGATTATCACGGAATCTTGCATTAGGATGTAATCCTGGGCCTCCAATTCCACATGGTACCTTAAAATTTATATATTATTTCACCAAAAATTAGTTTGACCAAAATAAAACATACATATGAACATGCTTACATATGTGTACACACATCCAATTTAGTTTGACTGTGAAATTTTAAAAAATCAGTGAAGTAGAGTGTTGTACAAACTGTTCTACAAACTTCAATTGTTATTGTACAGGTTAAAATGGGTATTTTTCATATTGCATGAAAACTACAAAATGGCACGTAATTAATTTGTTAATAGATTTCAAATATAATCAAAGATGTAATCAATCAGTTTTCATCTGTAATTCCATCATTCAAAAGATTTCTAAATGGTACTGTAAGATTGAATGTACATGCCTCCAACACCAATCCACAAAGTATTGATGTGTATTTTATGACATAAGTCGTTAATACCTCATGGAGAGAGTGGCAAGGTTTACGAAATGGGTTTCCACATCCATCCAATTGAGGATTTCCTTCTACGTCTCGTTGCACCATGTCCTCACAGTTGCCATGATCCCCTACAATCATATATATACCTCCACACAATTCCACTGCACTACATATCAACTGCATTCAACTCATAGTTAATATTCAAAATTATTGCTTTCATATAGACTTAAATCATATATGAATATAAGTACACAAAAAATATCTGTAGAATCATGTTTAATATTTAAAAAAATTATGAATGTAAACAAAGCACAGTTACAAGCAACTGTTACAAATTGAAGTTTCAAAAAAATAAAACGAAAATAGAGTATTTAGAAAATAAGGAGTAATTGTCTGTTGTGCTGTTGAAAATCAATATTTCAAATTATGAGAATTCAAAAATTACATGTTGAATAATAAAATCAGCATATTGAGATTCTAGATCAAATTAGACATTTCAATGTGCATTACTATCCATATATTACAGTCACCTTTCAAGTGTTATGTTTATTTTTATTTTTACTTTATCAAAAATCTTCAACATGATTAGTAGTCTGTAACCATTTTAGTTATGTTTAAGCATTTCATTAAGTACATACATTTTCACATTGGTGGTAATTCAGTTTAGGCATATAAAATCAAATCAATTTGGTAGAACCTTAATGCCTTCATCAACTGCAACACATGCCCTTTTTGTGGCCTCAAAGTCATTTGTATGACCAACAAAGTCTCCATTAGCAAACATCACACGAACAAAATCATATTTTCCAGAGAGCAATGCATCATTTGCCACATTTCCAATTGTGGCTGCACGCATTTCTGGCTCATATTCATATCTTACATTTTCACTTTGTACTTCATGCCATGTGTCATTCACTTCATGTGTCTTACCAGAGTTATTTCCATTCCAATTGAAAGTAATGTGACCCATTTTTTGGCTTTCACTGATGAAGATAATCAAAACATATGTCAAAATAAATTTCAAATATTTAGATGTGATTTACATATAACAATAGAAAAAAGAGAAAATCTTGAATTTTTATATACAAATTTTTGTTATTTATTTTTTTAAAATCGCTCATCTTTGCAATATTAGTTGCATGATCAATATAAAGTATTAATCAAAGTGAGTGTATGTGTGATATTGTGTGTGTGTGTAGATATATATGATAACATGGAAGAAATTCTTACGTAATGGCAAATGTACGCACACCATTAGCACTTAAATATTTTCCAGCTAATTTGTGAAATTGGGGAGGTTTTACTAAATAGTGAATGGGAATCTTGGCTTTAAGATCATATTGCATGAGTGCAACATATCGTACATTTGGCCAATATATGCGGTCAAATTTGTCAAAATTTTCATCAACAAAAGCTTGGCTGATTTGAATCATGCGATCCGCACGGAAATTGAAATTGATCACAACATCTCCTTCTTCAATTGTACCCCAGGGCTTCCCATCAGATTTTTTAATGATAACAAATGGAGGTAAATATTGATCATTGCAATGTGGATCTTTTTTCTTCAAATCAGTAATTGCTTCTACTGCACTCTCATACTTGTTGGGTGAATCTCCAAGCACATGAGCATACCAACCGCGCCTTACAATTCGCCAATCAGTCTAGTATTGTTGAATTATTCAATTTGATGCAATCATTTTTATGAATAATTCATATTGAAATGAATATTTACATAAAATAAGATTGGAAGCAACCATTAAGTTGTGTAATTGTTGTTATATATATATATATATATATACATATGTATGTATGTATATTTTAATGAAGAAGTTTATCTTAACAAATCTAATTCCACATAAACCCAAATTACAATACAATTCACTTAGGCATACATTCCAATGGTCCATAGTGACAAACATGCGGCCTCCTCCAGATGCAATTCTTGCATCACATCCCCATTTGCGGAGTTCATCTAAGTCCTTCTCCAATTGCTCTACAAAGTGGATGCTTGTGCCTTCGTTCACATCTCTCCCATCCAATAACACATGGAAGCGGATTTTCTTGCATTGTTGATCAGCAGCTGTTTTAAAAATGTATCGAAGTTGGTCGTATCTTGAATGAACCCCACCATCACTCAGAAGTCCGAGAAGATGGAGGGTTCCACCATACACCCACGCCTCTTTTGCATACAACCATCCCTGGCCCTTGCTCATGCTCCCATCTGCAATGGCTTTGTCTACAAGAGTTGCCCTATTCATCACAAAAAAACCAAAACCCAAAACAAGAAAGCCCCAAAACCCTATTTTAATGTTTAGAAAAAATCATTACAATGGTTCAACTCATCACAACCATCTCATCACTATAATAGTATAGAAATGAATTTGTTCATTAAAGAAGAGAAATGTTGTTTTTTGTTGGGTACTATAGAGTACCTAATTACCTTTGTGCAACAATTTTTCCACATCCCATGGCATTGTTTCCCACTTCCCCATTTCCCATGTCTGTGTTCTTTGGCAATCCAACCCATTCACCATGAGCTTTTAGAGTTCGCCACCTGTATGGATGTATATTCCTCAATGTTTTGATGGCTACACAATCAGATTTGTGGATTGCATTGAACTCGTCCTCTCTTCCTTCTCCCCAGCCTGACAATATGATGAGAACAAAAGGAACATTTCGCTCACACACAGGGTGTTGATACAACCTGTACTCAGGATCCACATTTTGAGCAACTGTGTTTTTGTGTGCAATTCTGGTAGTAGTTTTGGCAACAGCCATGTGTGCTTTGCTAAATTCAAGAGCTGGTTGAAAAAGCCTCAACCTGAAATTGCTCTCACAAACTTTCCACTTCAAATGTATATATACGGAGAGTTTACAAAGACAAAGTTAGTCTTCGGAAGCCTTCAATTGGTGCTAATAACGTAAATTTAATGGAGCGTCAATGAGCGATCTTGTTGCTAATCAATTCGTTGCTTGAAAATCCTAAACTTACCAGCCAGTGTGAGCTTACGCGGACGTTCACTTGCGTCACAGTTCAGAAATGTTCAAATCCAAGGTTGTGCACCAATGTTTTTGACAACAATAACTGCTTGTCGATATTACAAATGAGGAACTAAATTCCATCAGTGGACTGATAATAATACCTGTCACTGAAGCGATTACCAAATTTAATTGCAGACAAGACCGACCTTTCATAAGCTTTCATGTATTTCGTTAAACAATTGAAATTCTCAGTATTAGAACCTTTTGAACACATATCAACAAGCATGAATTCCACAGTGAAGAAACTTGGCTTAGGCACAGGAAGCTTGACGTGGTTGACAATATATCTGCCCTAGTAGCTTCACGCAAGCGTCTTATGTCGTTGTGTCTAAAGAGGTTACGATGTGATACTTCACATGAAGTACAGACAACCTGTCAATGCAAGGTAGTTAGTGAATTAGATGTGTTCATAGAAGTTAGATAATTCACCAGTACCTGTTGTGCCTGTACATTACAAAATAGTCTTGCAACAACAAGACTATTTGAAACTTGAAGGTCATTTTATTATTCCTTGGTTTGAAAGTTTATGGTCCATGAATAGCTGTAGAAAGTGAATGAGATTTTCCCTGTGAACAAGCTTAGCCGACCGTGTGCTCCATCTCTGTAGACCATGCAAAGCGCGGATTTGGCTCAGTAGGCAGACTGCATTGCAGAAGATTAAAGAATTTTTATTTTTTGTTTTCCGTAGTGACGTGTCCTCACTGAAATTGCGAAATTTAAGACTAGGATTCTTGATAAAAAAAAGGATTAGTCAGTAAGAGCACCTGATTTGAAGTACAGGAAACTTAAGAATCCTGCTCACAAATAGGAACGATAATAACAAGGAAATGCACTTGGTTTTACGGATGGACCTCGTGTCAAGAAAGATGTGCCACCAGAGAGGGACGTTAAGCAGCCTTCTAACACTTTAAAGCGAGTGAACTAGTAACATCCTCCAAGTTGGAAAGGCTCTCTCTCGCTCCTTGGGCTCTTCAGCAATTATCGTCACTCTTCTAAGGCGTGCATCGTCGAGGCCAGATCAATCATCTTAGAGAGAGTGAAGCGGAGAGATCGATGGAGTCTTTCTTTGCAAGGTGTTCCGTTGCCTGTTCTTCCTCAAGCCACTCCCTTTCAATATCTGCGAAGCTTTGCACAATGTCCAGCATGGCGCCATTGGACCCCAAAAGTACAAGAGGTGCCAAGGATTTCTTTTTGATGCCTACAGGAATGGCAATGGCCGCCACCAAAACTAAAGAGATCCATTACAAGCAACAGAAAACAGAAGTGGGCCTTTGAAGAAGTAAGCAACGTGACAAATCAGTTAACGGCGAACACTGCAAGATTGCATAAGACCAAAATCTAATATTCTCCAACACTGGCACTTGCTCAGGATACATCGAGCCCTCAGACTGATACTGCACAAGTCCGAAATGGCTCTCAGAATAGCGTAAACATGGTAAAACCCAATCATCACTGAGCTCAAGACGTAGGCAATCGAGATTTGCATCCAATGTCTTGTGCCGCACTAGGCGGCTAACTTTTTTCAGCTTCTAATGGTCTTAACGCACGCATGTCGCAATTTAGACGATTCAAATGAGCATAACTACATAAAAGTATGAAAAAAACTTCAAGGAACCCCAGAAACCAAACGAAGTCTTCAGAAAGATCAAAACTAATTGAACTGAGTATGGAGAAGCATCAAGTCTGTGACCTGGGTGCCTAGAGCCCATTGATTTAAACAAAAAATGAATAAAAAAAATAAATAAAAATGAAAAAATCCTACAGATATGATTACTGAAAACGCTACCTTAAGCTCAGTTGCTCAACAGCAAAGGCTATAGACCAGAGACCCAACTCACAAATCAGAGCCTCAACAACAGCATGCCACCAACAGGAACACAACACAGTCTCTATGTATTCCACGTTCTTTATTCCACGTTTGAAACATCCCATCACCCTACATAGAAGCCTGAACCATAAAATCCACACATAGACAGAGTGTCCCCATTTAGATCGATGGAAATGAGTGTAAACAAGTGACTGCATGCCCACACAAAGATCACTCATGTCCATTTATTTCATGCAATTCAGTCCACTTCCTTTTTCAACCCCCTCACCAACAAAGAGATTATTCATATTTCTATGTGATAGTATTTTCTTGTTAACCACTGTTTTGTTTTAGATGCTTGAAATGGGTTTTCTATTTCAAAATTGCCACATGTTGGCAAAGCAAAGCACACAAGTTCCAAAGCAAGAATGATGAAGAGTGGCATTGTTAGGAGAATACATAAAGTTGAAACATAACAATAAAACACCACACATAGATAAAATTTTCTTATAATAGTATGGTATATTTTTTTATTCAAAAAACATATTTTTTTACTAATTATGGTTATCATCCACAACTTGATACTTTGACTTTTCAAAAATTGATAATCAAAAGGAAAAAGATTTAGCAAATTGCTTAAGAGAGCTATATTCAACAATAAAGGGACAATTAAAAAGAATTGAAGAACAACAAAAGATCAATACAGATGCCTGAAATAAGGAACAACATCAATTCTATATTTAAAATAAGGTATAGTTATTTTGTTGTAATATCAAGACTAGTTGCCCTTGTGATAAGTTGGATCACTATAAACTTAAACTATTTTGTATTAGTAAACAAATCAATCTTAGTTGCTTATTGATTATATCTACCAAAGTTTATAAATATCCATTTTATATTCCATGTGTTTCTTCTTGAGCCATAAAAGAGAGTGAATATCTTAAGAAGAAGACAAATACCACCTCTTTCTATACATGTGGACAATAATCAAGAATTTAAAATTAAAAAAAACTTACACTTGAAGCAATGTCAAAATAGGTTAGAATATCTTGTACATTAATGCAAATATGATATTAGTGAACGTACATAGGAGCCATCAATTTTTTTTGTAAACATAGAAAAAAAGTCAAATCTTTTTATTCATAACACCCATTAAAATCAACATAAGTAGTTACGTAATTTCTTGCTATAAAAAAAACAAGGTTTTGTGAAACTTATATTTTATTACATATCCTTGATTGTAATGTATTTATATTTATGGTGCTAAAAAAAATAGAGAATCAACAACCATCAAATTCAACTCAAGAACTATTATTTATTGAATTATTCAACAAGACATTGTGATTGTTACAACCTTTAAGATAACATAATAGATATAAAGACCTTTAAAAACAACATAATAGATATAAAGACCTTTAAGAACAACATATTCTTTCTTAAATAGATGGTAAGATACAATGCATTTAATATCAACTATCTTCAAAAAGAATAAAGTTCGAAATATGTGGCAAATATAATTTATTGCATCTTAGACTTCCTTAACATGTAATCACCACTCTTTGTGGAACTTATTCTTAGAAGAGGAGGTAATATCTTAAACATATATATTTACTTCAATAACTACCTATATATTATGAATAAATAGAAATACATATAAGTAAACAAATTTTATAATATCTTGTGGAAAATTTTTATAGATGTGGCTTTGCCTTTATATGTGTCTATAGGTAATTAATAGATTAAAATTTTGGCCAACAAATTAGCTAGATGTCACACATGTTGGTAACTTTTGATTTAGGTTGGCCATATAGAGCACATGTAGGAAACTTATCTTGCAAATTAAACATGTGTCTTGCAAGTTTGACATGTATTTGAAGTCCTATAGAACATCATAATATAACTCTTAATTAAATAACATATATGGAGGCAAAAATGAAGCATTTTCATTCTTGTCATTCTTTTTTGTTTCTAATCTAATTTCAAGAGTCTCTAATTTTTTTTTCTTTTGGCATTAACCATTCTACTTTCTTATATATATATATATATATATATATATATATATATTGTCATCTTTCATTGAGAAATATCTCACTTTTTTATTTATATTCTTTAAGTTCTTGTCTTTGACATAAGGTATGAAAAAACTATCTTTTATGAGAATTGTGTTTTAAATGGTTTCTTTTATATTTATACCATGGTTTGATATAAAATATTTTAACACTATTTACTTAAAATAAATTTTAAATTTTAAATTTTATTAAAATATTTTTTATTATTTTTTCAGTATTTATATAGAAATATTTTTGTTCTTTAGTTTGATTAGAAATTTCGATAATAACACAATAAAATTATTTGCATAAGTAAGACTTATAGATATACAAAAACACATATAAAATTGAGATATTTAGGTAGTTTAAATAAATAAATATGGATACATAAATAAAGTGTGGTATAATACTAGACTAAGTGTGGTATAAATAATATCTTTTTATTACTTTTTGAGGCTTATTTAAATATATCCCAATCTAATTGTTATAATTTCATAGATTTTTATATTTAGGAAAAAAGATAATATGCTAACAAATTTTAAAAAATTGAGTGACTAAAATTGATATAATAAAATTATATATTTCAACCAATTAAAAGATATTTAAATTTTATTTTATTTTGATTTATCTTTTAAGTATAAATATTTTTTCATTTTCAATAAATATAAATTTGTATTATAAAATAATTATAATTATTTTTATTAAATATTTTATTTTACAAAAAAAATATTTTTAAAAATTAGAAGTGAGAAAAAATAAAAATGTGAAAGTAGTAGTATTTGATAGTAACAAAGAAGATTGTATTGTTATTTTTTATAATAGATATCAAAAGACAAAAATAAGTTAAAGAATCTCTAAAAGAATAAAAGTCTTAATTATTTTTTTAGTAGATTAAACATCCACTCACCTTTTCTATGGTCTAAATAATTATTGAATTCAAGGATCTAAAAAATAATATTTATATAGGTAATAGAGCAAGAATATTTAGTGATGTGGAAAAATAAATTTTAATTAATTATTAAAAATCAGATAATATATTTTCTTATTTTTCTAAAAGAAAAAAATTTCAGAAAATTCAAAACAATTTCAAATATTGGATTTTTTTTTTATTTTTTATGTTGGAGTACTTTATGCTTATGAGATAAGATAAGCAGCCAAAACTTTTAAATGTTTAGATTAGTTAAAATTGAAAAGTCTACTTGAGTTTATTTAATACTTGAAGGAAAAAAATCCATAGTATCCAAAAAGAAAAGATGAGACAGAATGCAGTTTTTTCAATATGGCATAAATAATGTTGTCTTATAGAATTTTAATTGGGTCCATCTAGAAGAAGTAGTTTTAAAAAAATCAAGAAGTTTTGTCTAAAATATTTTAAACAATTAAATATATTCTTTATAATTCTATATAATTTAAATATATTCTATATTCTTTAGAATAAAGATATGAACTAATATGTTTAGATTTGTAATAAAAATACTATTTGGTCC